TTAGTGGATAAAAATAGTTTAAAACTCTTCAAGATCAGCAGGTAGGTGTGATTCAGGCACCTTTCAAACGACTAGTTCTCTCCTGGATCCCTTTAAAATTTGAGTATCTCTCTCCCCACAGCCCACATGGTCTCTGATAAGTAAACCCACTGGCCTTCAAAGCCACAAATCCTGGGGGCTCATCTTCCAGTCACAGGACCCCCATGATGGGGAGGCTGATGCCAGGTTCACAACCCTTGTTCCCTGGGGAAAACCTCTCTAATTGTAATTAATCTGTTTACAGGTTACCCACCTGGGGGTATGAGTCTTGACTATACTAGACTCTGCCCCTCCTAGCTGTCTTGTTATGTTTTCTTTCTATAGATCTTTTCTGGTGGGTTTCAGTGCTTTTCACTGATAGTTGCTCTGTAAAGAGTTGTAATTTTGATGTGCCCCAGAGAGAAGGTAAGCTCAGGGTCTTTCTACTCTGTCCTCTTTGGTGAATAATTATCTCCATAGTCTTTACGGATATTTAAGTTAGTCACTAATACTAGTCTCTGTGTATATAAAATTTAGGCATTTGCTCTTATTTATGTAACACTTAGGTCTTCCCTGGTTGCTCAAATGGTAAAGCGTCTTCTTGCAATGCAGGAGACCTGGGTTCGATCCCTGGGTTGGGAAGATACCCTGGAGAAGGAAATGGCAACCCACTCCAGTACTCTTGCCTGGAAAATTCCATGGAAAGAGGAGCCTGGTAGGCTATAGTCCATGGGGTCGCAAAGAGTCAGACACAACTGAACGACTTCACTTGCACTATGTAATACTTGATTTATTCAGCATCCTATGTCATTTAATTAAAAAAAAACCTGTTTATAAAAATAACATAGTATAAAGGGTTAAAAGGCATTGAGGTTTTAGCAAATAAAACTTCGTATGAGTTGAAATCTATACAGTTTGAAATTAACATCAACTTTTCTGCCTACATTTTGTCCAATACAAAGTCTCTTTAAAATAACAGAAACTAAAGTAACTGATTCTATTGCCATGTAATTCTAGGAAATATCCCAACCTACATTTTGGGAGAAGTATTCTTCTTAGTGCCTTATCATCTAGATATCTTCCTGCTTCACCGTAAACAATGTATGTCTTACATTTTTTGAAACTTGGAGCAATAGGTCTTAATGTTTTCCCTTGTATTCCAGGATTTAGATCTCAAATGTGTATCATAGCATCAAAAAATATATTTGCTCTTTGAAGATTCAGTCATATCAGATGGCATCCTGATAATGTATTATTCATGACTCAGTCACAGATAAACAATGCGGCAACATAAAAGCAAAGCATTAAAAAGCCGCACGTATCACAGAACACTTGTGCAGAGGAATAGAAGTTCAGGAGGAGCAGGTTTTAAATAGGTAAATAAATAATCAACAAGGCAGTTTACGGAAATCTTTTTTATAGTCAACCTCACGTTCTAGACAGTAAACTCCTAAGGGTAAGGACAGATCCTAATCCGAATTCTACAAAGTTCTAATATGTCACAGAGTACGGCTCCTCAACATATTAACTACTACTTTAATTCAGTTATACTATAGCTGATATTTTAACATGTATGCTAATAAGAGCTCACCAAATATAGACATTTGGATTACACATTCAAATTTATACTTTAGTAAGTGGAAAATCAGAAATGTTTGATAATTTTCTAAGATTTATTAAGCAGGGAAGAAAAAAGGATTTTCTGATATAGTTCATGTGTATTTTAGGAAGAAACCTGTAAAAGTCCTCATGGTGATCTCACTTGAGGGCAGGAGAGCGTGCGGAGGGGAATCTTTTATGATTTTCCCTTCTAATGTTTCTAATCTTGCTTTTCTCCTCCTATTATATTAAATCAAAGACTGTGTTGTCACTCCCAGGTTAAACATAAACTCCGGGGAAAAACCAAAGGGAGTCTTCAGGTTTAACACAACCATCTTTTTCAGTCTGAACAACAGCTACTTTGCATAGTTTCCATTGTGAGTTATGTGTTCAGTTGACCTAACCGTGCTTCTAACAACAAAGTCTCTGTCTTAAAATTCTTCAAAACAACACTGTCGCCTCACCGGAGTGCCAGCCACCTTGTCTGTCCTGCCACACTTGGCCACCACCTTCTCCCCTTCGCCATCTCACTCCTGTTTCCTTCTTATGTCCCAGGCTTCTCTAAAAGCCTCTCCCCTAAATGCATCATCTCCTGCTCTCCTGTGAGTTCCCCGAGCATCTCATGTGCAAAGTGCTGCCATCTTATCATGAACAAAACAGACCTGATCTCAGCTTCATGGGCTATATAGTCAAGCTGGGAAGAAAGGCCTTAGCGAACAGAAATAATTAACACAATTATCAAAAGTGTTCAGAGTATCTGAACAGAGAAAAGAGGGAAGCATAGAAATGAAGAGCAGCCAAGCATAACCCAGAGCAATGGTGGGGGAACGTCCTTGAAGGACTTCCCTGGCGGTCCAGTGGCTAAGACTCTGTGCTCCCAGAACAAGGGGTCCAGGTTCCATCCCTGATCAGGGAACTAGGTCCCACATGCCTCAGCTGAGAGCTCACATGCCACAACAAAAACCCCGCAAGTCACAATGGAAGATTCCACATGCGACAACTAAGACCCGGGGCAGCCAAATAAATCAATGAATATTTTTTAAAAGTCCTCCATGAGGACGTCAGGACCCCACCATCATGGCTTTGGCAAGAAAATGAAAATGTATTTAAGACACTCTAGTGGGAGGAAGCAACATATACAGAAACACTTTAAGGCAAAGGAGAAGGGGGAATTTAGAATCTTTTAGGAACAAGGAGAAAGAGGGGCTCAAGATGAGGATGTGGAATGCCCTGGACCCAAAGCATGTCTGCCACAGAGGTGCCCTGTTCCCATCCTCCCCACAAAGACCTCACTACTGAGCTGTAAGGAGGGCAGCTGGCTCCCCTCGCTCAGCAGCAATCCCTTTGGGATACACCACAGCCTGCCTCTGGGGCCACATGCTTCCCCGGCAGCCTCCAGCCTAAGCACAGGGGAGCAGGAGGATGTGGTCCTTTCTGCCCAACGCAGGTGTCCCCGAAAAGGTCCTCTTACGCTGGGCCTGCAATGGCTTGGACAACATTTTGCCCAGTTTGTTTCACAGATCAGAACATCTGATTACTCTACTCTTGCCTCCCAGCCTGAGGCTCTCTCTAGACTTTGGTTGTTGAGTTTGAGACAGGATGGTTTGTTTTGTGATTCAGTGACTGAACACTGTATACAGATACTATCAGTTAGACACAACAAACGACATTCACATCACTGCCTTCCCAGCTTCCAGTGGGAGCACTAGGAAAACCGAAACTATTGTGAAGATTTAGAACTTTCTTCTAAGAAATTCCACATCAGCTATGTCTCGATGAAGCTGATAACTCTCAGTAGGTTGTTTCCCCTTTTCCTTAAACAAACAGATAATTACAGCAATTGACTGCTGCAAGTGGCACATTTGGTACAGCTCAAGCCACCACAGAGATGAGAAATGTTCACTCAATTACTTGTGGTGAGAATGTAGAGTGAGCTACTTGTCAACTAATGATGGTTACAAAAGGCTTTCCCCTTCAAAGGGACCAAAGGATCAACTCCTTCAGCTTAGTAAACATACCTCAGAATAAACCTCCCAGAACTCCTGCGAAGGAGCAAGTTTTTATCAGGGTGCCTGTCCACCATGTAGGCTGTCCTGCCACTGTGTACCAGCTGTGGAGTTAGACTGTATGAGACTCGGGGACTGACCCCACTCTCTACTCTGGTCCCAGACAGTCAGGTAACTTTCATCATCCTGCGTTGAAACCAAGTATAGATTCATGGAGAGATTTCCGGACTGAGGTCTAAGGTCTACCCCTCAATGCCTCTAGATGGGAAGGCGTGAAGAAACTGCTACAAGCAGCCACTGCAGAGAGTCAGGGAGACCAGACTGAAAGCAAAGGCTACCCAGAGCCAAGACATGAAGGGCACAGATGTGAAATCTGCCTGCGCTGGGTCTGAATTGGTCCTTTCCCACTCGATTATTGAGGAAAGGCTGAAACACTATCCTGTTGCACTTTGAAAACCATCCCGATGTACAGAGATGTCCTTGTATTCTTCCTTTAAAATGACATGTTGGGGGCTTCTCTGGCAGTCCAGTGGTAAGACTGTGTGCATCCACTGCAAGGGGCATGGGTCTGATCCCTAGTCCAGGAACTAAGACCCCACAGCCGCAAAAAAAAAAAAAAAAAATTTAAATAAAACAACACACTGGATCACGCATTTCAGTTTATCTCCCTTCCTTCCCAGGAAAATAAGTCAACTGTCCTTCAACACTTCAGGTTTAATTTTGTGGATCTTCACTGAATAAAGGCTATAAAAAGTTTGCGCTATCATTTCAACAACTGTCAAAATACTGTAAAATATTAAAAAATACAAATGTGCGCATTAGCTAAACAACATAATTATATCATTATACACTTGGATACTAGGTGAAAATCACTACTGAATACCTTAAAGAGCCCATGCATGCAAAGTAACAGACATTTCTCTCATTTTTAAAAAAGGTCAACAACATTTTATTTAAGTAAGAATTTTCAAGGATGGCCAAATTCAGGCCATATTTGTTGGTCTTGCCTACATACTACATAAACACACATACGTACATATACAGCTCTGCAGGGTAACAACCAACTTGGGATGGAGAGCAGCTACTTCCTTTAGGCTCAGAATGAGCTGTCAGTTTTGATTGCTATAGACAAGGTCCACTTCACCCATTCTGGGACCTCACCACTCACTGGAAGGTTCTAAATCTGTGACCTCTGATTCGAATGTACACATTAATGTTTTGGCAACTAAGTACAGGTTTATTCATATACTGAAGAAACCTGACAAGGGAAACCAAATAATCAGCACAAAAGCAAATAATGATTTCAGGTGAGTAGAAACAGGATTTTTCACATTCTTGGTTTAAGATTCATAACTACCAAATAGGCATAGATCTTACCTGTAGATCTTTTTCTTCTATCTTCTTTTGGAGCACTTCAAGGCACTTGGTAAAGTCAGTATGGTCTTGATCAGGAGTTGAAATAATTTCACAGCCCTGTGTTAAATAAGATAAAAGGTAGAAGTTAGTAATGATGTCGAACGAGGAACAAGATCAAGAGCTATAAAAGTAGAGAGAGAGCATCACACGTATCCTATGATGCCTGTGTTATACCTTGATCATTAAAATCATTATCATTATCTTTCTTATTTCACATAACAGGATCTCTCAGCAATGATGGTGGACTACCAAAATAATGATCTGATTATGACAATCATTTTACCCCAAAAAAGTACAGATAATACTACATTAATGGTCTTTAAAACTCACTGCTGTGATAACATTCAAGATTAACATAAGGACATCAGTATGAGTATTATAAAATATACTCACAGTGAAATGAAACTAGTTCTAATAAACATTGAGTTTCTTCAAGCAGACTAAGTTTATGTACATGAATAGAAAAACTAATACCGAGCTAATGATGAACTGATGAACTACATTTTAAGTAAAATCAAGTTAGCTGTCCTATAAAAGTCCTTTACAACACCTTTTTTCCCCCATGTAAAAAGAAGCAGGTAGAGAGATGCCTGTGTAAACACGCCTCTTGGATTATCTTTCGGACATAACGAAGTGAATTTATAAGTTCTTTGTCTCCTCTACAACAGATATTTTACCTAGTGAAAACACTGAAATATATTTATAACTATAACGCCACAGAAGTGCCAGCTTTCTGGCACTAGTGAACTGAGATGGTTCGAGAAACAGTATTTTCGAAATGACACCTTCTCCTCCAATGTCTTACAGAGGCAAAGGTATGTAAAACCAGAGCACAGTGAGACTTTGGACTTCTTAATTCAGGAATAAAACAATGTGACGTCTCTGACAAACAGCTGAGTAAGGGAAAGTTAAATATAATCTAGTATATAAAGTTGCCATTCAAAGAGTTCTCAAGGATACAAAACACCCATACTGGCTCTTAAATTATTCCAAAAACCATTCGCAGGAGATTTAAAGGTTCTTCTTTAACTTCAAGGTTTCTTGAAAGGTGTTGGGCTCAAGCTGTGCTTCATTCATTTATGACTGTCCTACAATGTAGTGACCAATGAAAAAATTAATTTCTCATCATTCAAAAATATATTACATCCTAAAAGATGCATATGTCATTTTTACAAGATCATCGATAAATACTTTCCGGACCCTAAAAGAACATTGAAATTTACTATAATGGCCAAGCAAGGATATAAAGTTGACTTCTCTCAGGCTAATACCCCTAAAAAAAGAAAAAGACACAAGAATATGCCAGAGCATACAGGAATATTATCAGAGAAAAGGATATTAGATTGTCAACAAACCAAAAAACACTACATTGAAACTTCCTGGAGGGCAGGACTTATATTTTTACTACTGTTCCCAGTGCCTGGCACCAGTGTGCTATATAGTTAAGTGTTCAATAAATAAAATTCTTGAGGAATGAAAAGGTCTGTTGGCAAACGTGGTAGGACAGTGTGGCATCTTATTTTATTGCCAAATATGACAATGATTGATTATCTTCCTTTTTTAAGTACTGACCAGAGAAATAATCACTCCAACAAAGGGAAACAAAATTAAAAAGGCAAACAGAAACAGCAATAAAAGAGATTACTAATAGATCATCATCTGCTTTGACTGTTATCGTCCCAGAATCAACACAGATCCACAGGAAACATTATAGCTAAAGAGAATCCAAGACATCACCTATGTAGTCCCACTATAACAGTTTGCAGATTAAGACAATAAAAAGAAGTTTAATTTGACTAAAAAACTGGACAGCAAGGTAGTAATTATCAGCAGGTCACATTTAGAAATCCTATTTTCTTTACTTCCATGACATGGGAACAAATTCCTAGATAACTGAAAGACCAAGGTCTTCACACATGCTTAGCTGCTCCATCATGTAGAACTCTTTGCAACCCCACGAGCTATAGCCCACCAGGCTCCTCTGTGCATGGGATTCTCCAGGCAAGAACACTGGAGTATTCTTGCCATTTCCTCCTCCAGGGGATCTTCCTGAATCAGGGATAGAACCTGCGTCTCTTGCGTCTCCTGAATTGCAGGCAGGTTCTTTTACTACCACCCCAAGTTCTTACCGGAGAAGTCAATGGCACCCCACTCTGGTACTCTTGCCTGGAAAATCCCATGGATGGCGGAGCCTGGTGGGCTGCAGTCCATGGGGTCGCTAAGAGTTGGGCACGACTGAGTGACTTTCCTTTCCCTTTTCACTTTCATGCATTGGAGAAGGAAATGGCAACCCACTCCAGTGTTCTTGCCTGGAGAATCCCAGGGATGGTGGAGCCTGGTGGGCTGCCGTCGGTGGGGTCGCACAGAGTTGGACACGACTGAAGCAATTTAGCAGCAGTAGCAGCAAGTTCTTACCATATCTCTAAGAAGCCCAGGTCTTATGATATCTCTAAAGTTGGCTCCACAGAATATTAAGAAAAAAGCTACTTGAACTGTAAGACCTAGGCTTCAATAAAATCTTACTTCATCAACTTCAGTTGGACACATGGAGAAGCTTAGTCAGGACGCAGAGACAGATTACCAGCACTGAAAAATTCAGACTGTATCTAAATAAACTAAAAATGTCTAGAAACTCTAACCAAAGGCATTTATTAATCATCCACAGTTTGTTAGAATTCTGACCAGTTTAAATGATCCTAATATTATCACAGAATGAGGATAAATTCACTAGAAGTAGAAACAGCTCCAGAAGTCCACTCAGGGCAACTTTTGACACCTAGAACGGTCACCTACAACACAACACATAGGTCTTTGGCCAATGAAAGATGTTTTCACTGTCTTCTGGGTCTTAAGATAACATATTAATATCTAGAAGAGGAAAAATATAAAAGTAAAGATGAAAAACTATCACGATCCTGCAGACAAGAAAATCGTAGAAATATGCTCATATTTATTTGTAATTATTGGTAATACAGAACAAAGTTCAATTCCCTGGAGTCATAAGAACTGGGCTCTATGAAGATATTCAAGATATGAGACTTGGCCAATTAAAGTATATAACATTCTAATAAACAGTTTTCAATTTTAGTTTCCATTAGATATGTGTATTTCATGTTAAGATATACAGGAATTTTCCTAAGCATAAACCATAAAATTCAACTACTACTATCTCTGATTCTTCTCAGTTGCCTGATATATATATATGTATATATGTATATGTGCATATATATATACACACACACACACCATACATATATGATTTTAAGATATATATTTTTTAAGATACAAATTAGTATTTTATGAGCCAGCAGGTAGCTCCAATCTCATATTATGCATTTTTGTTGTGTAATTTTTCTCACTCTACAAATAGAAATTTAAATAAGAATTCTAATAAATAGTTCGCTTTATGAATGCACCACTTTTTTTTCAAAATGGATTATTTTCTAGTACTACATTTTATTGATTCTTTTTTTAATTGATTGTGTTTTATACTAAAATTGGGAAGAAAAAGACAGACTGACATTACAAATTTCAGTCTGTCAAAGTCAGAGCTATTCTGAACTTGTTCTAACCTAAAAAGGATCTCCTGAAGATGAAGAGCCACAATGCCCACTCTAAAATGCTTTCCAATAAACTGAGATTTGTTTTAGCCCTAACAGTATATAACTTAATTCTCTGAAAAATCAGAGAATCTTAAAGGTTCTCTTAAAATAGGATAATTAAAATTTTGATCTATTGATAATTATCTTTCTCATTGAAATCAATAATAAAAAGTGAAATCTGATTACACGTCTTGTTATTTGAGATATGAGTCATTTTATATGAATTGTGATCTTGAATCTCAAAGATAACTTGATAAGGTAACTGTAGTTATCACATTTTAAGGTATGTAAACTGAAGCATGTGCTTAGTCGCTCAGTCCAGCCCCACTCTGTGCGACCCCATGGACTGGAGCCTGCCAGGCTCCTCTGTCCACATGGCCTCTCCAGGCAAGAATCCTGGAGTACAGAGAGTTTAAATAACTTGCCCAAGGTCACACAGCTGATAAAGAATGAGTATGTGATCAAAGAAGCCCATACTCGTCACCTACCATGCTTTGTACTCAACCCTGTTTACAATAAACTAGGTATTTGGAAGGTTTAAGCAGAAAAATGCCTTTATAATTTATGAAAAGTGAAAAGTGTAGTCGCTCAGTTGTGTCCAACTCTTTGTAACCCCATGGGCTCCAGCCCGCCAGGCTCCTCTGTTCATGGGACTCTCTACACAAGAACACTGGAGTGGGTTGCCATTCCTTCTCCAGGGGATCTTCCTGACCCAGGGATCGAACCCGGGTCTCCTGCATGGCAGATTCTTCACTGTCTGGGCCACCGCGGCAGCCCAATTTACATCAATCTTTATTTAACTGGTTTTCCCCAGTTTTAAATCCCTGAAAAGTCTTTAACTGTCAGGCAGACATGAAACCTGCCTGACTCCACACCGTGTACATTGTAGCCCAAGGCTTGGAGGACTCAGCCTACCCACAAACATCTGAAATGGGCAGTGAATGCTTAGTTATCCTTTTCCTTCCTTTTTTCTGCATTTCTAACTCATTATATTGTCACTATATTTATCATTTATGATATAATTCACTTTTTTGGCTATTAAACATATCTTTCTGATCAATATCTCTGTATAGAAGTGTTTATTTCTGATTATTTTTCTTAGACTTGAATTCTAAAAATGAAACTACTGGAAAAATAATAAGAACTTTTTTATGACTCTTGATAGATTGCCAGAGTGTTTCCTAGGAAGATTGAAAATACGAATATTCCTACTGGTGTATGAGGATAAAAAAAGTTTCTTCTTTTAAAATGTAATACTAGGGAAGATAATTAATCATGAATTTCTTACCGTGAATTAATTTACTTGCTATACTTCCTCCTTAATTACAAACAAACCATTAAGGAAAAGACTTTCTTTGGAGAGGAAGGGAAAAGAAAGATAATTCTGGAGTGTGAAGCAGGGTTGGTACTAGAAGTGGTTTGCCCAACTGAGGACTGAGGTGGTAAAGGACAATA